CTAGTGTTGCTGCTAATGGTAGTAGTCAGGGGATGAAGTCCTAGTGTTGCTGCTAATGGTAGTAGTCAGGGGATGAAGCCCTAGTGTTGCTGCTAATGGTAGTAGTCAGGGGGATGAAGTCCTAGTGTTGCTGCTAATGGTAGTAGTCAGGGGATGAAGTCCTAGTGTTGCTGCTAATGGTAGTAGTCAGGGGATGAAGTCCTAGTGTTGCTGCTAATGGTAGTAGTCAGGGATGAAGTCCTAGTGTTGCTGCTAATGGTAAGTAGTCAGGGGATGAAGTCCTAGTGTTGCTGCTAATGGTAGTAGTCAGGGGATGAAGTCCTAGTGTTGCTGCTAATGTAGTAGTCAGGGGATGAAGTCCTAGTGTTGCTGCTAATGGTAGTAGTCAGGAGGATGAAGTCCTAGTGTTGTTGCTAATGGTAGTAGTCAGGGGATGAAGTCCTAGTGTTGTTGCTAATGGTAGTAGTCAGGGGGATGAAGTCCTAGTGTTGCTGCTAATGGTAGTAGTCAGGGGGATGAAGTCCTAGTGTTGTTGCTAATGGTAGTAGTCAGGGGATGAAGTCCTAGTGTTGCTGCTAATGGTAGTAGTCAGGGGGATGAAGTCCTAGTGTTGTTGCTAATGGTAGTAGTCAGGGGGATGAAGTCCTAGTGTTGTTGCTAATGGTAGTAGTCAGGGGGATGAAGTCCTAGTGTTGTTGCTAATGGTAGTAGTCAGGGGGATGAAGTCCTAGTGTTGTTGCTAATGGTAGTAGTCTTTGACTCTTCCTCTCTTGGTTATCAATATATTTTTCCATTAATCGTTTCCACAGGGAGTACCAACCAGCTTTCTTTTCCCTGAGATAACATGATTGGAGATATTGGATCTCTCCAGTCGGCATAGCTGTCAGAAAACTGGAAAATGGAAAATATAGTTCCAGTATATAGAAAATGGGATAAACATGAGGCTCAGAATGACACACCAGTATCTTTAACTTTTTTATTGACACCCAACATAGATTTAGGTATGGAAAATCCTGTCTTAAGACCTGCTGAATTTCTGTGACAGTGTCACCGTAATAAAGAAAGTTAAGGTTTGGGGATTCTGTTTGCTTTTTCTGTAGAATTAACATTTGCTATAGTACCACACCAGAGATTAGTTCAAAGAAATAAAGAAATAAGCTGAGCTAAAAGACAGAGTGATGTTGTGGGTAAGAGAGGACCTAAGTGACAAAAGGCAGTGAGTAACAGTAAGGGATGAGACATCCGAATGGGAGAGAGTAACGAGTGGGGTTCTGAAAGGATCAGTGTTAGAAACATTTATTATTAGTGGTAATAACACTGACTGAATTACCTACCAGAGGGAACTGGTTCCTATGGGTCATTGTTTGCTGGCAATGAAAGGTAGTGAGAATAAAAACAGAACTGAGAATAAAAACTCAGTTCCAGAACTGAGTAGAATCCATATTGAGGGAAGGTTGAAGGAACTAAACCTGACGACCTTCGGGAAGAGAACAAGGGGATACATGATACAAGAATGCTACTAACAAAATCTTAAGAGGAAGTGATAGGAATGATTGGCACAGTGATTGACCTCGGTTGACCTGGCTTTTCCTTGGTAATCAAATCAGTATCTGATCACCGATACTGTTTTTTCTGCTCCTCGCTATTAAATTTCCATGAGGCTCTGTCACTTACAATATGACCAGAAACAACTTTCTCTCACTGGCAAAAAACAAAAAAATTCGCTAGCCGATAGCACTTAATATTCACGGAAAATCGTTTAAACCAGGAACTAGTGACCATGTGTTGGCGCAGTATGAGGCCTACCGTACTCACCTAATTGTGATTGCAGGGGTCGAGACTCAGCTCCTGGCCCCGCCTCTTCACTGATCGCTACTAGGTCCTCTCTCTCTCTCTCTCTCTCTCTCTCTCTCTCTGCTTCCTGAGCTTTGTCATACCTCGTCTTGAAGCTATGTATGGTTCCTGCCTCCACTACATCGCTTGCTAGGCTATTCCACTTTCTGACGACTCTATGACTGAAGAAATACTTCTTAACATCCCTGTGATTCGTCTGAATCTTCAGCTTCCAATTGTGACCCCTTGTTTCTGTGTCCTTTCTCTGGAAAATCCTGTCTCTGCCCACCTTATCTATTCCATGCAGTATTTTGTATGTCGTTATCATGTCTCCCCTGACCCTCCTGTCCTCCAGTGTCGTTAGTCTGATTTCCCTCAACCTTTCTTAGTAGGACATTCCCCTGAACTCTGGAACTAGTCTTGTTGCGAACCTTTGCACTTTCTCTAATTTCTTTACGTTTGGGTTCCAAACTGGTGCTGCATACTCCAATATAGGCCAAACGTACATGATGTACAGGGTTCTGAACGATTCCTTATTGAGATGTCCGAATGCTGTTCTTTGGTTTGCTAGGCGCCTGTATGCTGCAGCAGTTATTTGGTTGACGTGCGCCTCACATGTGCCCGGTGTTATACTCACACCAAGATCCTTTTCCTTGAGCGAGGTTTGTAGTCTCTGGCCCTCTAGACTGAATTCCGTCTGCGGTTTTCTTTGCCCTTCCCCAGTCTTCATGACTTTGCACTTGGTGGGGTTGAACTCCAGGAGCCAGATTATGGACCAGGCCTGCAGTCTCCAGATCCCTTTGTAGTTCTGCCTGTTCTTCGTCCGATTGAATTGTTCTCATCAACTTCACATCATCTGTAAACAGGGTCATTTCTGAGTCTATTCCTTATATCATGTCGTTCACAAATACCAGAAACAGCACCGGTCCTTCGACTGACCCCTGTGGAACCCCGCAGGCTCCCACTCTGATACCTCGCCACGTACCATGATTCGCTGTTATCTTCCTGACAGGTATTCCCTGATCCATTGCAGTACCTTCCTTGTTATCCCTGCTTGGTCCTCCAGCTTTTGCACTAATCTCTTGTGTGGAACTATGTCAAACGCCTTCTTACATTCCAAGAAAATGCAATCTACCCACCCCTCTCTCTCTCTCTTGTCTTACTGTTGTCACCCTGTCATAGAACTCCAGTAGGTTAATCACTCAGGATTTCCCGTCCCTGAAACCGTGCTGGTTATCACTGATAAGCTCATTCCCTTCTAGGTGCTCCACCACTTTTCTCCTGATGATCTTCTCCTTGAATTTTCACACTATACAGGTCAGTGACACTGGTCTGTAGTTTAATGCTTCGTGTCTGTCTTCATTTTTAAAAATTGGGACTACATCTGCCGTCTTCCATACCTCAGGTAGTCGCCCTGTTTCGATAGATGAGTTGAAGATTGTTGTTAGAGGTACACAAAGTTCCTCTGCTCCCTCTCTCAGAACCCATGGAGAGATGTTATCCGGCCCCATTGTCTTTGAGGTATCTAGCTCGCTTAGCAGCCTCTTCACTTCTTCCTCAGTTGTATGCATTGTGAACAACACTTGATGGTGTACCCCATCTCTCCGTCTTTCTAAACACTCTTCTGTCTCCTCTGTGAACACTTCTTTGAATCTTATTTTGAGTTCCTCACATACTTCGCGGTCGTTTCTTGTGATCTCCCGTCCTTCCTTCCTCATCCTGATTACCTGGTCCTTGACTGTTGTTTGCCTCCTAATGTGGCTGTACAACAGCTTCTGGTTAGATTTGGCTTTTGCTGCTATGTCATTGTCGTATTGTAGTTGGGCCTCCGTTCTTATCTGTGCATACTCATTTCTGGCTCTCTACACCTGGTGAACCAAGAGCTCATCCTGATTTTCTCGTTATTCCTGTTACCCTTGGGTACAAACCTCTCCTCAGCTTCCTTGGATATTGTTGTCACATATTCCATCATCTCATTTACTGACTTGAGCTAGAGTCCGTCACGGCCACGCTAGCTGGAGATTCGTCTGTAAAAACTTGCATTTGTGGTCACAGTGGTGCCTGTGCTAACCTTCCTATGGTGTAGAAATATACCTCGTTGGATGAATCTTATTGTGGCTAGCTGGTCTAGTGGCTAACGCGACGGGCTGGAGTTTTGAGACTCTATGACCGCGGGTTCAATCCCGGCCGGGGGTATGGTTTGTTTGCAATCGTGTCATTACGATTTCTTGAGTCACTGACTTCCCTGCCAGTTCTCTGTCCCACTGAACCCCGTGCAGGAAATTCTTTATGCCTGTGTAGTCCCTTCTCTTGTAGTTTGGCTTCATTCGTCCTGTCCTTTTTGCTTCCCTCTCCACTTGCAACTCTGCTATGTATTGGAAGCTCAGTGTGTTTGTGTGTGTGTGTTATTCTGTGTGTTTGTGATTGTGTGTGTGTATGTTATTGTGTGTGTGTTTGTGTGTGTGTACTCTTGTTACCCAAGGTGTTGAATGGCTCCTACTGGCTTAGTGCTTCCATGTAATGTGATAAGTTTGGAAATACTTTAGATTGGTAAGATAATTTATATTTACTCATATCTTGGGCCAAACAAAAGACAGATCATGTAAATAATGTCACTATTTATTAATACATCCTTTGCTATATCATTATATTTTCAGTTTCCACTGACAATTAAGTTATATTATTAGTACTTAAATACAAGAGAAGTATGTTAACTTCCTCACTCTAAGACTGAATAAATATTTATATTGAAACCAAACATTGTCAATTTATATGTTTTGACTTTATTGCATTCTAAGTCTTTGCCACTGTGTTTATATTAATAACTATAACTGTTAACATTGCTGTTATTAAAGTTAAGCATCACTGAGATAGCAAGTAACAGCACCAGTGCTTAAAGACACACACTGTTAACTAACAGAGATACTAGACGACATGGGCAGTTTTGTTCCCAGGGTCGTATGTTTGTTTAATAAGATATTAACTGTGCCAATCAGACACACACATCCACAGTCAGGACATTTATTGAAAGAAACGTTTCGCACTTGGTGGTTTTGGAAATATGAACACATAAGCAGTACAATGTGATCTTTTACTGACAACGTTTCGCCCACACAGTGAGCTTTATCAAGTCACAAACAGATCTGTTTGTGACTTGATAAAGCTCACTGTGTGGGCGGAACGTTGTCAATAAAGGATCACATTATACTGTTTATGTATTTATATTTCTACTGTGTCGGTATTTTATACCATTTATTTCCATTGGTGTTTTTATCACTCCTTATAACTACAAGTGGCGAAAATTTCTCAATAAATATATTGTATATGTGTGCCTTATTACCGCTATCATTCGATATTAACATACCTGTACTTGTACAATAAGTTACTGACGTGGTTCATTATAATAATGCACATCTTGTGGGTTATAAGAAAGTCACCTGTATCTAACATGTCGTGTCCTGGGTTCACCGGCCCTCGGTTCCAGACCAGACCTCCTGGAATTACTCCCTCATGCTGTAATTATAAGTACAGGGGTTGAAAAATCAGTGGGTCTGGGGTAGCTGGAAGTGGTAGCAGTGATGTAGACGAACTGGTGGAGAGTGTAAACCTCAGGTCCAATGGGAAGCCTCGCCATGTTCGACACAGAAGAGTCTCTTCAGTACCATCCCTTTACAGATTATTGTATCCTCTTCCAGAAGCACCCCAGCACTCTGCCATGTATACATCAAGGTTACGATAACGGCATTTGTTGTTGTAGGCAACCCTGTACAGGCAGAAAGAATAATCGTTACATAAATGTCAACGGAAATAACATTAAACTTTACCTTAATTATTATTTGATCATTGTTAATTAGGAGGTTAGGCACCGACAGATATACATTATATCTCTCAGTGTATATACATTCATGGAGTATATACATTCATGGAGTATACACACTGAAATCAATACATCTATAGTTATATATTTCGTAAGGACTCCATTAGAAATAAATCAGTTTAATTTTATTATGTTATCCTTGGTCAAATATCGCTTGTCCTATCTTGCTTTGCTGTTGCAAGATGAAATGCAACATGCTCTTAGTGGGAGAGGAGAAGGGCACTTGATCCAAGTAACTGGAGTTATCTCCTGCGTTCCATAAATATAAGATTACATCACACGCTCCATCCGCCGTATGACCTCCAAACATTTACTACTGTCAAAATTATAATACAAAAATAAAATATTGGAAGACAAAAAAATGGAAAAAATACCGGACTATTATTATTATTATTATTATTATTATTATTATTATTATTATTATTATTATTATATTATATTATTATTATATTATTAATTATTATTATTATTATTTTTATTATTATTATTATTATTATTATTATTATTATATTATATTATTATTATATTATTATTATTATTATTATTTTATTATTATTATTATTATTATTATTATTATTATTATTATTTTTATTATTATTATTATTGTAATAAAGTTGGTAGAATTACCGACAATATGTAAAGTAAAAGGACACAAGTGCAACTAATGTGACATTTTATTGTGGCAACGTTTCGCTCTCCAGGAGCTTTATCAAGCCATTACAAACAATACATGGACACAGAGGGTATATAAAGGCTCAGAGTGAGGTGAATACTAGTGAGGTACCATATCGATGTTCACTAGTGGTAGTGGTAGTAGTAGTAGTAGTAGTAGTGGTAGTGGTAGTGACAAAAGTAATACAATATGGTAGAGCAATTAATTCGTACATGAGTAAAAGGATATAAAAGCTATTACTTGGGTAACATAAAAATAGGTTGGACAAATATAAACTGGAATGAGGCAGCTTGTTTCAGTGTTCACTCTCTGTACTTTGTGTAGTATAACAGGAGAGACTATGTGATGGCAGGGTTTACTGTTTTCAGGAGGATTCTTGCTAAGACTTCGGAGATGGTGAAGCTGCCGTTGTTTTGTTTAATTGTATTCGAAACAGCGATCAGTGCTGATTCAAGGCACTTGCGTGTGCGGAAATTAGTTTCTTTTATCACTAATTGGGCGTCTCTGAATTTCATAAGATGATTGGTGGAATTTCGGTGTTGTACACAGGCGTTGTTTAAGTTGTCGTTCCTACATGCGTATATGTGTTCATTGAGGCGGGTGTCGAGGTTTCTTGCTGTTTCACCTACGTAGATCTTGTCACAGCCTCCACAGGGTATAGTGTAAACTCCTGCATTGACTGGTTCGTGGTGCTTGGGTTTTGTCCTGATTAGATCCTTTATTGAAGTGGTAGAAGCGATGGCGACTCTGGTGTTAGCTTGTGAAAGTACTTTTGAGACGTTTAGTGCAACCTGGCTGTTGGGAAGAATTATAACTTTGTTGGGAGCGGTGTTGATGCGTGGAGAATTGATGATCTGAAGAGCTCTTTTCTTGCAGTCTTTGATGAAAAAAGAAGGAAATTGTAACTCAGTGAATGTTTGGTGAATGTAAGTACATTCCTCGTCAAGAAACTCAGGACTACAAATTCGGTATGCTCCACTGAAACAAGCTGCCTCATTCCAGTTTATATTTGTCCAACCTATTTTTATGTTACCCAAGTAATAGCTTTTATATCCTTTTACTCATGTACGAATTAATTGCTCTACCATATTGTATTACTTTTGTCACTACCACTACTACTACTACTACTACTACCACTAGTGAACATCGAAATGGTACCTCACTAGTATTCACCTCACTCTGAGCCTTTATATACCCTCTGTGTCCATGTATTGTTTGTAATGGCTTGATAAAGCTCCTGGAGAGCGAAACGTTGCCACAATAAATGTCACATTAGTTGCACTTGTGTCCTTTTACTTTACATTATTATTATTATTATTATTATTATTATTAGTATTTCCGAGGGGTACATTTATGAGGATGCCAGATTTTTTTTTATTTTTTTCTCTCTTCTTGCCATTTCTCTATTTTATTTAACCCATAACTCAGAAAAGCCTAATTCAATCAACTTCAAATCTTCAACACTTTTGTACGGTGAAGAGGATCAAACTTCCAACATCCAGCAATGGTTCGATAACTGACAAAATCCTCAGCGGTGGAGCTTCATACGTTCAAAAAAGTTCAGGAAAAATACCACGAAGATGCAGAGAGGAATTCGAAAAAGTGTAAGATAAGATAAGATTTCGTTCGGATTTTTAACCCCGGAGGGTTAGCCACCCAGGATAACCCAAGAAAGTCAGTGCGTCATCGAGGACTGTCTAACTTATTTCCATTGGGGTCCTTAATCTTGTCCCCCAGGATGCGACCCACACCAGTCGACTAACACCCAGGTACCTATTTGCTGCTAGGTGAACAGGACAACAGGTGTAAGGAAACGTGTCGGAATTTCCACCCGCCGGGAATCGAACCCGGGCCCTCCGTGTGTGAAGCGGGAGCTTTAGCCACCAGGCCACCAGATCTGACGATGTTGTGTAAAAAACACTTTAAATATATATTTTAGTTTGCGTCTTATGACCAGGATAGTACATATTAATGTTCGTTTGCCTGATGACATTTTTTTATGCAAAATAAAATATATAAAAACCTCTAATCTTTGGAATCTGTTCCGCAACTGGAGAATGACTTATCTGATCGGCTTCAAATTCTCACCACTGTCTTGGTTTCTTCAGCAGTAGGTGCCATAAGTTCCGACTTGTCAATTTTATTGAATAAATAGTGACATTTGTTTTTTCTTTAGTAGCAAATTTACAATTTTACTAAATACCTAAAAAAATATGAAAATCGTTGGAACCAGATCAATTCCTCAAGAATGCCTTTTCTGATTGGAGTCAAACTTTTACTATTGATGAGCTTTACTAAAACACAGTTTGAATTTCTTCGTGTTTCCTGGGTGAAATACAGATGCAGCATAAATCACACTACACAGTACACTCCTTCATTAAGAAGTTTGGCAAGTGTCAGTGCGGTCGGTCATTCTGTTCAGGTTATATTGGATTTTTTTTAACGTGTTGCCAGAGCGTTGTTACGATTTTCTGTATAACAGAATGGAATCTTTAAAAGGAAGAACATTGTGTGTAAAATTGTGTGCAAATTCTGTTTCTGAGTGAAACGAAAAGTGTAACTCACAAGATGCTTCAGCAAGCATTTGGCGACTAAGCTACGGACCCCTGACTGTCTTCAAGCAGGCACTGGACAGGCACCTAAATTCAGTACCTGACCAGCCGGGATGTGGTTCGTACGTTGGATTACGTGCGGCCAGCAGTAACAGCGTGGTTGATCAGGTTCTGATCCACCATGAGGCCTGGTCACAGAACGGGTCGAGGGGGCGTTGACCCCCGGAACTCTCTCCAGGTATACTCCAGCATTTTAATTAGTTTTCATGATTCAAAACAGCATGAATGTCAGTTGAAGATGATAAACTTTCTGGTCGGCCACCAACTTAAAAAAAAACGAACACCAACATTGAAATACTGAGAAAGACTCTTCACGAAGATCATCGTCAGAGTATTAAGAACACTGCAACAGCTGTCAGAATTTCTGATGGGTCGTGTCTAAACATTTTGTCTGGAGATCTGAATATGAAGAGAGTGGCTGCGAAATTTGTGCCCAGCTTCCTTACTCAAGACCAGAAAGACCATCGTTTTTTGGTCAAAAACAAGGCCATAATCCCCCCCCCCCCCTCCCTACTCCCCAGATCTTGCCTCCTGTGACTTCTTTCTCTTCCCAAAAATAAAAATGGCTCTCAAGAGGTGGCATTCTAACGATGTTGAGGAGAGTCAAGCAGAATCGCAGTCTACATTAGACGTCGTTAGGAAAGAAGACTTCCAAAAATATTTCGAGAAGTAGCAGAGGCGCTGGGATCGTTGTAGCTGACCAAGAGTACTTAAAAATAAAATAATAATAATAATAATATCATTATTTTTAGAAGTACATGTGCAATGTATACTATTTAAAAGCCGTTTGTTATGCAGAGCAATTCGGGCAAATTCGATCAATTTCGTCCCTAGATGTGACCCACACCAGTCGACTAACACCCAGGTACCCATTTTATACTGATGGGTGAACATAGACAACTGGTGTAAGGGAACACGCCCACTGTTTCAACCCTCGCCGGGAATCGAACCTGGACATCCACCGTGTGAAGCGAGAGCTTTTACCACCAAGCCACTTGGCTGACACCTAGGCACTTTTTTTTTATAGCACCTCTTACATATAGGTAGGTACCACCTCTGTAACTGACTGGGGACCCACATCCTAAGAGAAGAAATTGAACGTACTTCAGAGAAAGCACAGGAGGTTTCTCTCTGGAACTGCTTGAGTATTTTCTTCTCGTACCATCCTCTATATGCTGTTTCAACTTTATTGGAAAACAAAATATTTTAAAACAATGATACATTGAGAAGGAAAACATGGCATCAGAGCCTACATTTCAAATCCTTCATCCAGCTCCCTGGCGGTGGGTCATGTGCCCAGAATACTGTAGGCATTAATAAATAACAAAAAGGCACAATACCGTGACTGGAACGATACACAAATAACCCGCACATAAAAGAGAGAAGCTTACGACGACTTTTCGGTCCGACTTGGACCATTGACAAAGTCACACTGTGACTTTGTCAATGGTCCAAGTCGGACCGAAACGTCGTCGTAAGCTTCTCTCTTTTATGTGCGGGTTATTTGTGTACTGTAGGCATTTCCTCTCTGGATTGCAGCAATGAGTCTCATTAGGGTCCTTGGATTATATGATGAGTGTGTCATCCATCTCTTAAGGACTCTGAGAGAATACTTTTCCCATGTTCCGAGGAATGCCGGTCCTATTGGGACCAAGTTATAGAATGGTGCCAGCCCACTGTATTTGTTGATCTGGGTTTTCCTGAAACTGGCAGCACCACTCCCTTTAGTTTCAAAGTATTGTAGGCCAGTGTCAGCCAGTGCAGATTTAATCTACATACCATCTTCCCAGGGTAGTGTGGTGACTCCATCTGATCTCATTGATCTCAGTACCTGAGGCTTCTGATCTGCTGGACATCGGGTTGTGGTGAGACTTCGCTTGATATCACTGACCTCTTCATGTCTAGCATACTTCCCTTCCGATGTATGGCCGACGAGACCATGAAGTCCAAATTGATTAGCTACCGCCCTGCTGCTAAAACACTTGTGTTCGGTAATTATAGGGGTGGCTAGGCGGACAGCTACACAAATCCAAAAAATCTGAGGGTCGAGGTAAGTGCCAATGAGGAATTAGGGACAGGCAAAAGTGGTATAAACCTTGGTAATAAATACCGAGAAGTTGGTTTAGAAAGACACGTAAGCAAACACTATAACATATTTATTAGAAAACGTTTCGGTCCTGGGACCTTGATCACTTCTAACATACAGAGGTAGAAAGACATTATATATATAGGCGGAGAGTGAGATGTGACGCACGTGACCTGAGGAATGTCATAAGAACATAAGAATGGAGGAACACTGTAGAAGGCCTACTGGCCCATGCGAGGCAGGTCCTTATCAAAACAACCTCTACCTATGAACATTAAAATGGTATGAAATACCGACAGATTGTTAGGTAAGACACATATGCAACAGTTAGGTATCTTTATTTCGAAACGTTTCGCCTACACAGTAGGCTTCTTCAGTCGAGTACAGAAAGTTGTGATGAATGGTTTGAAAAACCGACAAGTTGAAGATTGAGACACTTATGCAGCATATGGGAATCTTTATTCAGGAAACGTTTCGCCACACAGTGGCTTCATCAGTCCAATACAAAGAGGAAGGCGTAAGGAGAGGAGGAGAATGAGGTAATCAGTCCCTCAACCTGGAGTCGATGTGTTCAGTCCATCAATCTTGTAGAATGTACAGCATAGGGCCGTAGACGTGGCTTATATACTGTAGTGAGGTGACGTGAAGCAGATGGAGGCGGGGTCATAGTGGTACCATCCACTAGTCGAAGTAGGTCTTCGTCCAAAGGTTGAACAAGTGTTGAAGAATTCTTTGTAACAAGACCCATGATGCTGCCGTGTCTGACAGTTGTGATGAATGGTTTGAAAAACCGACAAGTTGAAGATTGAGACACTTATGCAGCATATGGGAATCTTTATTCAGGAAACGTTTCGCCACACAGTGGCTTCATCAGTCCAATACAAAGAGGAAGGCGTAAGGAGAGGAGGAGAATGAGGTAATCAGTCCCTCAACCTGGAGTCGATGTGTTCAGTCCATCAATCTTGTAGAATGTACAGCATAGGGCCGTAGACGTGGCTTATATACTGTAGTGAGGTGACGTGAAGCAGATGGAGGCGGGGTCATAGTGGTACCATCCACTAGTCGAAGTAGGTCTTCGTCCAAAGGTTGAACAAGTGTTGAAGAATTCTTTACCTCATTCTCCTCCTCTCCTTACGCCTTCCTCTTTGTATTGGACTGATGAAGCCACTGTGTGGCGAAACGTTTCCTGAATAAAGATTCCCATATGCTGCATAAGTGTCTCAATCTTCAACTTGTCGGTTTTTCAAACCATTCATCACAACTGTCAGACACGGCAGCATCATGGGGTCTTGTTACAAAGAATTCTTCAACACTTGTTCAACCTTTGGACGAAGACCTACTTCGACTAGTGGATGGTACCACTATGACCCCGCCTCCATCTGCTTCACGTCACCTCACTACAGTATATAAGCCACGTCTACGGCCCTATGCTGTACATTCTACAAGATTGATGGACTGAACACATCGACTCCAGGTTGAGGGACTGATTACCTCATTCTCCTCCTCTCCTTACGCCTTCCTCTTTGTATTGGACTGATGAAGCCACTGTGTGGCGAAACGTTTCCTGAATAAAGATTCCCATATGCTGCATAAGTGTCTCAATCTTCAACTTGTCGGTTTTTCAAACCATTCATCACAACTGTCAGACACGGCAGCATCATGGGGTCTTGTTACAAAGAATTCTTCAACACTTGTTCAACCTTTGGACGAAGACCTACTTCGACTAGTGGATGGTACCACTATGACCCCGCCTCCATCTGCTTCACGTCACCTCACTACAGTATATAAGCCACGTCTACGGCCCTATGCTGTACATTCTACAAGATTGATGGACTGAACACATCGACTCCAGGTTGAGGGACTGATTACCTCATTCTCCTCCTCTCCTTACGCCTTCCTCTTTGTATTGGACTGATGAAGCCACTGTGTGGCGAAACGTTTCCTGAATAAAGATTCCCATATGCTGCATAAGTGTCTCAATCTTCAACTTGTCGGTTTTTCAAACCATTCATCACAACTGTCAGACACGGCAGCATCATGGGGTCTTGTTACAAAGAATTCTTCAACACTTGTTCAACCTTTGGACGAAGACCTACTTCGACTAGTGGATGGTACCACTATGACCCCGCCTCCATCTGCTTCACGTCACCTCACTACAGTATATAAGCCACGTCTACGGCCCTATGCTGTACATTCTACAAGATTGATGGACTGAACACATCGACTCCAGGTTGAGGGACTGATTACCTCATTCTCCTCCTCTCCTTACGCCTTCCTCTTTGTATTGGACTGATGAAGCCACTGTGTGGCGAAACGTTTCCTGAATAAAGATTCCCATATGCTGCATGAGTACAGAAAGGTTGATAGAAGCAGAAGATACTTGAAGACGATGTAATCAGTCCATCACCCTTAAAGTTTTGAGGTGGTCAGTCCCTCAGTCTGGAGAAGAGCATTGTTCCGTTGTCTGAAACGTTGTTTCAGACAACGGAACAATGCTCTTCTCCAGACTGAGGGACTGACCACCTCAAAACTTTAAGGGTGATGGACTGATTACATCGTCTTCAAGTATCTTCTGCTTCTATCAACCTTTCTGTACTCGACTGAAGAAGCCTACTGTGTAGGCGAAACGTTTCGAAATAAAGATACCTAACTGTTGCATATGTGTCTTACCTAACAACCTCTACCTATGATGAGGACGGGTAGACGATGAAATCATGTGACTCCTGTGTTGTTGGGTTGGTGCTGCTTAAGTATCATGTATGCCAATGTTTTTGAAATTTTGTAGTTTCCAGTGTTGCGTTCTATAATGTCGGTGACGGCGATTAGTGAGGCTTCTAGGCACCGTCGGCGTCTGAGGTCTGGTTCGGTGAGAACGAGTTGTGCTTCGTTCCTCGTTCCACTGGAAACTACAAAATTTCATCCACGGGGCATTTGATGAACTGGAACGAGGCACAACTCGTTCTCACCGAACCAGACCTCAGACGCCGACGGTGCCTAGAAGCCTCACTAATCGCCGTCACCGACATTATAGAACGCAACACTGGAAACTACAAAATTTCAAAAACATTGGCATACATGATACTTAAGCAGCACCAACCCAACAATACAGGAGTCACATGATTTCATCGTCTACCCGTCCTCATCATAGGTAGAGGTTGTTTTGATAAGGACCTGCCTCGCATGGGCCAGTAGGCCTTCTAGAGTGTTCCTCTATTCTTATGTTCTTATGACATTCCTCAGGTCACGTGCGTCACATCTCACTCTCCGCCTATATATATAATGTCTTTCTACCTCTGTATGTTAGAAGTGATCAAGGTCCCAGGACCGAAACGTTTTCTAATAAATATGTTATAGTGTTTGCTTAGGTGTGTTTCTAAACCAACTTCTCGGTATTTATTACCAAGGTTTATACCACTTTTGCCTGTCCCTAATTCCTCATTGGCACTTACCTCGACCCTCAGATTTTTTGGATTTGTGTAGCTGTCCGCCTAGCCACCCCTATAATTACCGAACACAAGTGTTTTAGCAGCAGGGCGGTAGCTAATCAATTTGGACTTCATGGTCTCTACATAAAGCTACCCAAGAAATGTATGAGAGTATAGTTTTCCCAACGCTCTTCTATGGTTGTGAAGCATGGGTGATGAATGTTGCAGCGAGGAGAAGGCTGGAGGCAGTGGAGATGTCATGTCTGAGGGCAATGTGTGGTGTGAATATATTGCAGAGAATTCGTAGTTTGGAAGTTAGGAGGAGGTGCGGGATTGCCAAAACTGTTGTCCAGAGGGCTGTGGAAGGGTTGTTGAGGTGGTTCGGACATGTAGAGAGAATGGAGCGAAACAGAGTGACTTCAAGAGTGTATCAGTCTGTAGTGGAAGGAAGGCGGGGTAGGGGTCTGCCTAGGAAAATTTGGAGGGAGGGAGTAAAGGGGCTTGGACTTCCAGCGGGCATGCGTGAGCGTGTTTGATAGGAGTGAATAGATACAAATTGTTTTTAATACTTGACGTGCTGTTGGAGTGTGAGCAAAGTAACATTTATGAAGGGATTCAGGGAAACCGGCAGGCCGGACTTGAGTCCTGGAGATGGGAAGTACAGTGCTTGCACTCTGAAGGAGGGGTGTTAATGTTGCAGTTTAAAAACTGTAGTGTAAAGCACCCTTCTGGCAAGACAGTGATGGAGTGAATGATGGTGAAAGTTTTTCTTTTTCGGGCCACCCTGCCTTGGTGGGAATCTGCCAGTGTGTTAATAAATAATAAATATATATAAATGAATGTATATATGTATTTACTCACCAAGCTGAATATCCTTGGGCATTGAGGATCTTCAGGGCACAGGAGACGTCTTTCGAGAGGTTGTCACTCAACAGATCTGTAGCAAGAATAGAAAGTCATCCACTTGGTTAAGCAACAGTTCACCTACCAGGTCAAGAACCAGATCACACAAATGTTCATGTACAGGTGCGTATATATATATCTCTCTCACCTCTACAACGTATCCCGCAAAGGTTTCTCCCGCCTCTGGTACCATCCCAACACCAGTACATGCTGTTGATCTGGAAGATACCATAGTCCTTGCTACCGTCATAGTTGTATGGGTTGATAGCTGCTGTGTTGAACCTGGACTCAAACTCTGCGATGCATACCCCTGTTGTTGTTGTTGTTATTATTGTTGTGGTGGTGGTGAGGTGTGTGTGTGGTAAATTGTGTGATAGCAGTGTTGGAGTTATGATGGTGATTGTGATGATGGTTGTAGTTTCGTAAGTGGTAAGATAAAGGAGGGAGAGATGTTACATCAGAGTGAAATCATCTATATAAACATCAACACAGACATCAACACAACGATCAGCATAAACATCAGCACAAGCATCAATATTGCCACATAAATCACTATAAAACAGATAAATTTCAGTCTTTAGATTGTCACGAAATTTCCCTAGACTTTACTAATTTTAATTAATTCCAAAATTGGTGATTTTTATTTTACAAAATATTTTTTTTTAAATTAATGTTTTACACACACACACACACACACACACACACACACACACACACACACACACACACACACACACACACACACACACACACCACACACAACACATATATATATATATATATATATATATATATATATATATATATATATATATATATATACATATATATATATATACAGGGTATGATGTAACACGTAATGAAAGTAGTTTGTTAGATTATGTATTGGTGGATAAAAGGTTGATGGGTAGGCTCCAGGATGTACACGTTTCTAGAGGGGCAACTGATATATCGGATCAATATTTAGTTGTAGCTACAGTTAGAGTAAGAGGTAGATGGGACAAGAGGAAAATGGCAACACCAAGTAAGAGGGAGATGAAAGTGTATAAACTAAGGGAGGAGGAAGTTCGAGTGAGATATAAGCAACTACTGGCAGAAAGGTGGGCTGGTGCAAGTAAGAGTAGTGGGGGGGGTTGAAGAGGGTTGGAATGGTTTTAAAAATGCAGTATTAGATGTGGGGCAGAAGTTTGTGGTTATAGGAGAGTGGGTGCAAGAGGAATGAGGAGTGATTGGTGGAATGATGAAGTAAAGGGTGTGATAAGAGACAAAAAGTTAGCTTATGAGAGGTTTTTACAAAGCAGAAGTGTTATAAGAAGAGTAGAGTATATGGAGAGTAAAAGAAAGGTGAAGAGAGTGGTGAGAGACTGCAAGAGGAGAGCAGATGATAGGGTGGGAGAGGCACTGTCAAAAAATTTGAACGAAAACAAGAAAAAAATTTGGAGTTAAACAAGTTAAGAAACCCTAGGAAACGAATGGATTTGTCAGTTAAAAACATAGTACGGGAGTTAGTAGATGGGGAGATGGAGGTACTGGGTAGATTGCGAGAATATTTTGAGGAAGATAAGATAAGATAAGATAAGATTTCGTTCGGATTTTTAACCCCGGAGGGTTAGCCACCCAGGATAACCCAAGAAAGTCAGTGCGTCATCGAGGACTAACTTATTTCCATTGGGGTCCTTAATCTTGTCCCCCAGGATGCGACCCACACCAGTCGACTAACACCCAGGTACCTATTTGCTGCTAGGTGAACAGGACAATAGGTGTAAGGAAACGTGTCGGAATTTCCACCCGCCGGGAATCGAACCCGGGCCCTCCGTGTGTGAAGCGGGAGTTTTAGCCACCAGACCACCGATGAAGAAAGGGAGGTAGTAATTTCATGCACTGGCCAGGGAGGTATACCATCTTTTAGGAGTGAAGAAGAGCAGGATGTGAATGTGGGGGAGGTGCGTGAGGCAGTAGAATGAAAGGGGTAAAGCAGCTGGAACTGACGGGATCATGACAGAAATGTTAAAAGCTGGTGGGGGGGATATAGTGTTGGAGTGGTTGGTATTTTTGTTTAATAAGTGTATGAAAGAGGAGAAGGTACCTAGGGATTGACGGAGAGCATGTATAGTTCCTTTATATATAGGGAAGGGGAACAAAAGAGATTGTAAAAATTATAGAGGAATAAGTCTACTGAGTATACCAGGAAAAGTGTACGGTAGGATTATAATTGAAAGAATTAGAGGTAAGACAGAATGTAGGATTGCAGATGAGCAAGGAGGTTTTAGAGTGGGTAGGGGATCTGTAGATCAAGTGTTTACATTGAAGCATGTATGTGAACAGTATTTAGATAAAGGTAGGGAAGTTTTTATTGCATTCAAAGTCGTCTGTGTTGTTTCAGGGACATAGAAGTATAACTAAAGACTTTGAATTAGGAACCCCACAGGGAGGTGTGCTCAGTCCCACACTATTCAATATTCTAATTAATGCCTTACTTAATGCTATGCTTAGCCAGCCCCATCATTATATGATTAGTTTTGAGAGTAAGACACATGTGCAACATCTGGGTATCTTTATTGTAGACGTTTCGCCATCCAGTGGCTTTATCAATACAAATTCCAGGACATAACTTGAAGACAGTAGAACTATGTACAGAAGATGAGGTAATCAGTCCCTCAACCTAGGAGTAGGTGCGAACAGCACCATAGTCCACGACTATGGTGCTGTTCGCACCTACTCCTAGGTTGAGGGACTGATTACCTCATCTTCTGTACATAGTTCTACTGTCTTCAAGTTATGTCCTGGAATTTGTATTGATAAAGCCACTGGATGGCGAAACGTCTACAATAAAGATACCCAGATGTTGCACATGTGTCTTACTCTCATCTTGTCGGTATTATATACCATTCGTACACATGATTAGTTTTGCTGATAATATAATTCAATTCAATTCAATTCAAAGTTTATTCTCTATAAGGATTACAATGCTGAGTTTACAGAAATTTGGTTATTGTTTGGTTTACATGTAGTAAAATTGTGATTACAGAGTGTACCACTAGAACGCTTAGCATGGCTAGGCATTTCGGGCATACTTAGTTTTATTCTTAATTGTAAAATATTACAAATTATGAGGTAAGTTGGTATTATGGCTAAGTGACTAAATACTAGTTTATGAGTTTAGCAATGTGAATGCTTTTGTTTTGGCACAGTATATAGTTTCAGTATTGGAGTATCACAGGATTCATTATTTTAAGACTGAGATTAATATTTCTGTTTATGGTCAAATGAGTGAGCGAGTGTAAGTGTGAACCACCAGGTGGTATTCGTGTAGTTAGTTGACGGGGTGTATCAGGGAGATAAGATGTTTTCTAATGGTAGTTTTGAAGGTGATGAATGTGTCTGCAGTTCTAGAGTTCTCAGGTAGGGTATTCCAGATTTTAGGGCCTTTGACATACATTGAATTTTTGTAAAGGTTTAGTCGGACACGGGGAATGTCGTAGAGATGTTTGTGTCTGGTGTTATGCCTGTGGGTTCTGTCACAACTATCAAGAAAGCGTTTTAGGTCAAGGTTGATATTAGAGTTTAAGGCCCTGTAGATATAGATTGCACAGTAGTAAGTGTGGATGTAAGTTTAGATTTTTGAAGAGTGGGGAGGTGTGCTGCCAGGGATGGGATTTAGTGATTATTCTTACTGCAGCTTTTTGTTGGGTTATTATTGGCTTTAGGTGTGTTGCTGCAGTTGATCCCCAAGCACAAATAGCATAGGTGAGGTATGGATAAATAAGTGAGTGGTATAGTGTGAGAAGGGCATTTTGCGGCACGTAGTATCGTATCTTGGAGAGGATCCCAACCGTTTTGGATACTTTTTTGGCTATATGCTGGATATGGGTGCTGAAATTCAGGTTGTTGTCAAGGTATAAGCCTAGGAATTTTCCCCCATTATTTCTGGTAATTAGAGTGTTGTCAAGCTAAATGTTAATTTGTGCATCTCCTGCTCTGCTACCAAACATAATATAGTAAGTTTTGTCAGTGTTATGCGTAAGTTTATTGGCTGTCATCCAAGTCGATATTTTAATCAGCTCCTCATTCACAATTGTGTTGAGGGTGGCAAGATTAGGGTGAGAGATGACATAAGTCGTGTCATCAGCAAAGAGAATGGGTTTCAATTGTTGGGATACGTTTGGAAGGTCATTGATGTATATGAGGAAGAGCAGGGGACCAAGGACACTTCCCTGCGGAACTCCAGTATCAAGTGGCCGTGTTGCTGATGCTGTGTCTTTAATGGTGACGTACTGATACCTATTAGTAATGTAAGATTTGAAATAAGCAAGCGCATGGCCTCTTATACCGTAGTTGTCAAGTTTGTGGAGTAGGATTTCGTGGTTTACTGTGTCAAAAGCTTTTCTTAGGTCAATAAAAATTCCTAGTGGATATTCCTTATTTTCCAATGCTGTGTAAAGCAGATCTAGCATTTTTATGATTGCATCATTAGTGCTTTTATTTTTCCTGAATCCAAACTGGCAGGGGTTGAGTATGTTTTGAGCCGTTATAAATGAATACAGTCTCTTGTACACGAGTTTCTCACCACCGGATTCTCCAACACCCAAAACATCCTTAACCATGTACTAGCCTCGTGTCAGGACCTGGGGTTGATAATATCTACTGATAAAACAAAGATACTCAATAGGCGTCCTCCTAGACAGAGAGGCACAGTTCGTCAGATCTGTTCTAGAATATGTAAGCAGATACAAGTATCTAGGCTTTGAAGTTCCACTGCTTGGACCTGTTGTAACGAGACTTTGTCCCCAATACAAAGAAAGACTGAGAGCACTTAAAGTTGTGGCAGGGTTTCACTCCAGGTATGGTGTAAATGTTAAAATTGTGAAAATGATGTACCTTGCTTATATTAGATCATTGGTTGATTATGCTGCGCCACTACTTGCTCTTGTGTCTGACTGGAAGCTTGGAGGGCTGGAAAAACTGCAGAACGAAGCAATGAGGATCATTTTAGGATGCCCTCGCACTGCCAAAATTTTAAATATGCAAAAAGAACTTGATATCCCAAGCATCAGAGATCGTGTTACTGAAAGAAATATCCTAATTGGGGTTAATATGCTCAGGCAAGCCCATTCAAACCCCTGCACAGAAGCCCTTCAAACTTTCCTCAGCACTGGTGACCACCCCTCCAGATGGATCGAAAAAACTGGTACCGACCTCCGCATGAATCAGATACATGATCTATGTCAAGTAAGGCAACAGCGGCACTTCACCGCTCCATGGGATATTACCCCATTCCAAACTACCATTCCTCCATTTCCCCCCAAACTA